GTTCCAGATCTCTGGGGGTCTACGTTGTGAAAAAATCGCAACGAGGCTTAGCCAGGTGGGAGTGGACCCCGTTGCGGAATACAAGAGTGTGACACGGCCTCGGACAGGACGCTTTCAGATGTTTTCAGCTCTGCTGACGGCTCTAGAGGAAGGGAAGGCGGAGGAGGAGGAGGAGGAGGAGGAGGAGGAGGATCCAGACCTAGGTGTTCAGCCAGGCTGTTTTGCCCGCCGGTGACGCCGGGAATTGTGACGCTAACTGGAGTCGGGGGCCCCCAAACGGTGCGGTGACCGCACCGCGTGCTGAGTCAGTGGAGATTCGGGGTCACCACGCGGTTTTGTGACTTGGGCAGCTTTCGAGGGTGTCTCAAGCAGCCGGGGCTTCCGAGGTCCCAAAACCGTGGGGTGACGGCCCGCGCGGTTTCGGTCGCTGGGGCTCCCGAGGTCACCACGCGGTCCGTTACCACAAGATTTGGGGCCCAAAAAAGGGGGGAGGGGACGGGGAGGGCCGGGCTGGGACCAGGATACTTACATCGTTCCAGGGCTTATGATGCTCCAACCTACTTTGGCCTTGATCACCAGAAATAACTTCGAGCAACAATCAAGCACCCAAATTGGAGGGTTTTCACGTGCCGTGCCCTGGGAGGCGATACTTGTTCGACACTGTTTCGATACTTGTCTGGGTGCTCGAATCGGAAACTGGAACATATACATTACCAGTGGCGGGTTGTTTTTCAATCCCAAGACTTTTTGAGGGTCGGGGACGACGCCGGGATGGTGTGGTGTATATTTTCCCCCGTCTTCCAAGGGAAAAATCGAAAAATGTATACACCAGGATCCCGTATATACCAGGATGCGCGTTCCTATGCGAATTTCGGCGCAGGGTCGGAAAAGCGTCGGTGTATACAGTTCGTTTCCCTACTCGAAATTATTTCTGGGATGCGGTCCTTAAGTGCGATGGGAACAACACAATCCAGGGCGCTCCGCAGCGCTCTCACAGAGCCGCGGCGCCCGATGCGTTCCAGAGCGGTCCAGGGACTTCTGTGCCTCTTCTCCCCCCTCCGCTCTTCCTCCTCCTCCTCCTCCTCCTCCTCCTCCTCCTCCTCCTCCTCTCCTCCTCCTCCTCCCCTCCCCCTCCCCTCCCCTCCTCCCCCTCCCCCTCCTCCTCCTCTCCTCTCCCCTTCCCCCTCCTCTCCTCCTCCTCCTCCTCCTCCTCCTCCTCCTCCTCCTCCTCCTCCTCCTCCTCATCATCATCATCATCATCATCATCATCATCATCATCATCATCATCATCATCATCATCATCATCATCATCATCATCAGCATCAGCATCAGCATCAGCATCAGCAGCATCATCTTTTCTCCCCCCTCCGCTCTTCCTCCTTCCCACGTATCCCTCCCTAGGGTGATGAGAGCTGCTCGTGCGGATTCTGGCTGTGGGAGGTGCACTAGCGCGACGTGCCGTCCTCGTCCGCGCACCGCCCGGGTGTCTGATGTGCCGTCCGTCCGTCCGTCCGGAGCGCTCCGGAACAGCCGCGGCGCCCGACACGTCCGTCCTCGGGAACCGCCAGATGTCAGAGATCCCCCATGTGTCCCGGGTCGATGTTGTCTTGGTCCTGGTCTCGGGGGCAGCCAAAGAGGGGGGCGATGATTCGTGGGGGGGGCATGGCCAGGGCCATGGTATCTTCGAGATTCCGTGGCCACCTCATCTTGCATCAAGAATCCTCTTCCTCCGCCTCCTCCTCCTCTTTCTCCTCCTCCTCCTCTTCCTCCTCCTCATCTTGCACCAGTAATCAACACATCCCTTGGCCCCTCCCTCGTCCGCGCACATGCCTCGCGTCCCGAGTTGCGACCCCCCCTCTTGGACGCCCCCCTCGTGGACGGCCACGACGGTTTCGTCCGCAAGGTTAAGTCGGGCTTGTCCGTCTACAGGGGGAAAAGTCAAACATTGGGGTTATGTTTTGACTATGTTGGAACATGTTGGGGGTATGTTTGAATGTTTGCTATTTTTCGCTCAGAATCCCCCTGTAGAGGGACAGGCCCGACCGAACTGTAAGGTTGTGAGGGGGGGGGGGGGCCAGCGGCGGGCGCCGACCACCGCGAGGCGTAAAGAGAACGAGCGCTCTCGATGGGGCCTGGCCCTGGTGACCACGTGCCACGGTCGGACGGGGCAATGACGAGGAGAAATCCGTTCCAGAGCATTCCGAATCTCTGAGAGCGTTTCTGGAACGCTCTGAGAGGGCCGCGGCGCCCGAGACATCCTCCAGAGCCGCCGGAGCTCAGAGGTTCTCGATGTATCCTCATGCCCATGCCCTGGTGCAGGCAGGCCCACACGCGTGCTTCCCCCGCAGGCGAGCTCTGTCTGCGTCTTCCGCCGCGCGTCCTGTGCAGAGGACTCGGCTCTCTGGCCGCAGGGGGCTCTATCTCCGCCTGTCTGAGGTTCGGCCCAGGCGCCCGAGAGGGCGCGTGCCGCGCGGCAGGGTCGGGGACCCACAGAAGGCGTGCACGGTCAAGTCGTTGAAGTAAGGAACAGCTGGCGTTCGGAAGGGGCTCAAGGTTCTTTGGGTCGTTCCATGGTTGTTTCTCCAACCCTTCTCGTGCACGCTGGCGTCTTCGGGGCCAAGAAGGGCTTCGTTCCTCATTTAGCGTTCCTTATTTCAGCGGCCCGACTGTACGCGCCCAGTCACGTACATGATCACGGCACCCCAGGCCGCGAGACCAGCAACGCGCCTTTTGAGTCCAGCGTGGAGTCCTGCGAGGCGTCTCAAGCATGGCCGTGCCTTCCAGGATCGCAGGACTTGTCATCTCTTCCGCCGCGGAAGCCGGCGGAACGGCGACGGAAGGCGGCGCAATTGAAAGATGCGCCCCCAAGAGATGAAAGCATGTTTGGGCTCAGGGTTTCTGGCATCGCCCATGTGCTTTGGTAACGAGGTTTCCAGAATCCGATCCTCGGGATCCTCCTCCATGACCTCCCGCTTTCGGCGGCGCGTTTCACTTGCAACCCTCAGCGGGGGCCGGCGTGGCCGCCTGCCCCCATCTCAATCGCGGCGCCCGCAGAAAGGTCAGGCGCGCTTTTTCCTGGCGCGCGAGGGGCGACGGCCGCGAGACGCATTGTTACGCAGCTGCGCGAGATGAGCGTTAAGTCGGGCCTGTCCCTCCACAGGGGGAATATTCAAAAAGAGTCAAAAAAATAGTACGGGGACTCTTCAGCATTTTTTTCGTCGTTCTTTTTTCTCCGTCCAAGATATCCGCCTGTAGGGCGACAGGCCCGACCTAAGATTGGCGAGATCTGGAGGATCGGTTGGAGGGTTCTCGGAGTCCTAGAGATTAACACCGACACCAAGATTGGCGGTGTTCCTCCACCGAGGGAAGACGATCCCGATCTCGGTGATGGTGGTAATATTCTGGCTTCCAAGGTGACCGAAACATTACCACCAGCACCGAAATCTGAGATCACCATCTCCCTGTGGAGGCAAACCCCTGTGCTGGTGTTGGTGCCAATTTCCAGGCCTCCAAGGTTCAGGGTTCCTCTCGCCCCCGGGGCCAGACTGCCAGATTGGATTGGGCCCCAAGGGTCAATCTGGCCCGGCCAAACTGGATGATTTGGGTTATTCGCCAGACTGGATTCGCGTTGGCTCCCTCGCCAGATTGCCCCCGTTTGCCAGATTGGGCCTGCCAGATTGGCGCCAGATTGGCTTCGACTACCCAGCCCGGGGAGGAGCTGGCGGCGGCCGCGGCGCGGGAGGCGGCCGGGGCTTCCGGGCAGCGCCCGGCGCCCGCGGCAGGGGCGTGCCCTCGCCTGCGGCGCGCGGGCGCGGCCTGCGCGCCGCAAGCGGCGGAGGCTCGCTACGAGTCGGCCACGTGCAGAGGGGTCTCCTCCTCCTCCTCCTCCTCCTCCTCCTCCTCCTCCTCCTCCTCCTCCTCCTCCTCCTCCTCCGCGAACTCAGAGCCCCGAATCATCAGGGGAAACTCGGGTCAGGGCTAACTCGGGCTCCTTTTTCGGGAATCCAGACCCGAATTACCCCGGACCCGAGTTACCCCGGATAAGTCGGGCGTACTCAGAGCCCCGAATCATCAGGGGTAGCTCGGGTCAGGGCTAACTCGGGTTCCTTTTTCTGGAATCCAAACCCGCGTTACCCCGGACCCGAGTTACCCCGGATAATTCGGGCGTCCAGAGCCCCGAATCATCAGGGGTATCTCGGGTCAGGGCTAACTCGGGCTCCTTTTTCGGGAATCCAGACCCGAGTTACCCCGGACCCGAGTTACCCCGGATAACTCGGGCGTCCAGAGCCCCGAATCATCAGGCGTAACTCGGGTCAGGGCTAACTCGGGTTCCTTTTTCGGGAATCCAAACCCGAGTTACCCCAGACCCGAGTTACCCCGGATAACTCGGGCGCCCAATGTACAGTTCGAAGAAGAAGAAACAAACCTAAACATACACTTTTGGCGCTCCGCGCGGATTTCTTGGTTCCGCGCCGGGGCCCCTCGGGCGGCGCCTCCAGCGCCGCTCCTGGCGCGCTCCGCGCGCCAGGGAGGGGGTTCCAGCGTAGAGCAAAGAAATCCGCGCGGAGCGCCAACAGTATATATATATATATATATATATATATATATGTTGATGCTTGTTCACATGCTATTGTTCTCTGGAGGGTGACACGTGAAGGCCGCTTCTCGCTCCGTAATCGTTCTGGCTTCAAGCAAACATCCAGGCCCCTCGCGTTCCTATGCTTAGCGCGCTGGCCCCATACCTTGGCTACGCGTCCCAGGTCTCGGTCGCGTGGCTGAATCGGTGCCCTGCGGCGCCGGCCTGCCCGGCCTGCACGTGCAATGTGCGGCGTGCCCAGCGTGCCCGCCGATCCCGGCTTGCCCGGGAGCCCCGACGCCAGTCTGCCCGGCGGAGCCGCCTGGGGCGGCCGAGGGCCCGCCGCGTGCTGGGCTGGGGTCGCTCTGGCCGGCGCTCGTGTGCGCGGCCCTCCTCGGCGGCTGCCTGATCGGGGCGGCCGCAGGAGCCTGCCTGCCCGCCCTGTTCCGGGCGCGGTCGCGCGGCAGCGGCGCGGGGCAACGGGCCGAGCAACATCATGGCGGCCCACCAGCTGCTCCCATGGGCGTGGGTGCAGTACGCCGGCGCGCCGCTCTGGCACCAGCGGAGGGTGCTGGGGCGCTTGAGGCCATCGGCGACTCGACCGACTGAGCCGTTCCGCCTGCTGATCGCGACGGCCCACCGCGACGTCTACGACGAGTTGTACGACGGCTCCAGCGTGGACATTCAGGGCGTCCGATTTGCTGCCACGCGTGCGGTCCCCCCTGGCATGGACCGTGCTCAGACTCACCGCTTTCGGCGGGAGCCGACGGCGGCCGAGATGGTGGCCTTCAACGGCGCGACCGAGCAGGTGTGCCAGGACATCCTCGCCGCCGAGGCGGCGGCGGCCGGTGCGGCCTTTGTGCCGAACCCGCAGGGGTGCCTCCAGCCGCTGGCGGGGTTCATGCCGCCTGCCGGCCCCGGGGCTGGTGCTGTCGGAGCTCCTGGTCCAGGTGCAGGTGCTGCCGCCGGCGCGATAGTGCCTGCTGGGCCGGCGGCCGGGGCTGCTCCCCTTGGCGGTGGGCCAGCCGTGGCTGGCGCTATGGTGGCCCCTGCCCCCGCGGCCGCGGCAGCCCCCCTTGGCGTTGCTGCCGCTGCCGTGCCGGATAAGTGGGTCACGATCGAGAGCACGTCCTTCAGCGCTCGCGGCGTCGTGGTCCAGCTTCCGGTGAACGCTCAGATCTCGGGGGACTTGGCAGTCGTCACTCCTCCTGGTCATGGTGCCGTCGCTGTGCGCAACATCCGTGATCTTGATGAAGGGGCCTACAAGGCCCTCGAAGCTGTACACGATCCCCGCGTCCTGCTACAGGCTCATCATGCTGACCCTCGTCCTCGTCGGGGTTTTGCTGAGGCGGTCCGTGACATGACCGAGTGTGTGGTGAGCAACTGGACGGTACCTGGTCCGAGGACCGTCCTCTGGTGCGCTCAGTGGTTGGAACGCCGCTCCAGCACGCCGCTTTCGCACCATCGCTGGTTCACCTCGACGTTCAACCTGAAGTCTGACCAGTGGGGCGTAGAGGACCACGGGACGGCGCTCAGGGCCCTTGAGGAGTTGCTGTGCTTCGACGGGGCCGACCCGTCCAACTTGGCCGGAGTTGAGATCATCATGAGAAAGGCTCAGCTCACGGAGTACGTCTACTGGATGGATTCTCTCGGAACGTCTGAAAAGAACAAGAATGCTGGCAAGCCCTCGGTCTCTTTTAGCGGCCCCATGGCCCATGGATGAGTCGGCGATTTTCTCGGGCCTCAACAAGGACACGGGCGCCGCCATGGTGTGTCCACCCCTTTTGGATCACGTCGCAGCCGAGGTTCAGAAGGATGCAGCGATCTTGAAACAGGCGAGGAAAGCCAAGGAGGAGCGGGCCGCGCTCCTCAAGAAGCAATGAAGCCAGACATCCTCGACCCAGGAGCCCCCCCGGCCTGGGTCGCTACGCGCATGGGGGGGCCTTTTTCACACCTGAGGATCGCGCGCGCGATCTCTTGCCTCTACCTCTTCCTCCCTCCCCTCACCTCCCTAGGGGCACCCCATCAGTTTTTTCCAGGGCCACTCGTCGTCGTCTCGAGCGAGCGGGTCACAGTGAACGGCTTGTGCGGGACATCGTTCAGAGTTTGAATGATCTTTTTCAGGGGTCCTCGTCTCGTGGGGGGACCTTGCCACCGACTGCTGCCCAGGACGAGGCTATTAGGCGAATTCGTCTTGCGGTGAACAGAATCGGCCCCCCCCCCCGAGGGACTCGACGGCGCGGGAGCCTTGCGGGAGCTCTGCGCCCGGCGTGCTTACGATGGTGAGCCCGCCACCGTTGCGCCGATCAGCCCAGCATCAGTCTGCCTCCTGGATCTCCCTGCCCCGGGTAGCTCCCCTCGTCCATTGGAGCTCCTGGGTGGTCCGGAGGGTGAAATTTTGGCTGATAAAGTTTGCTCGAAACTTATTCCTGAGTCCCTGGCAGCCGAGAGGCTTCAACAGGAGGCCCCCGCTAGAGCGTATACAGATCCAGCACTCCGGCGATCTCCCCGCCAGTATGCGTCTGTTTTAAACCGCTTGAGCGAGGCCGGTCTGATTGAATGGAGGCTAGGGCGCAGGGGGTCTGCGGGGAGTTTCGCCGCCTTTAAGAAGTCAGGAAAGTTGAGAGTCATTATTGATGGGAGACGGGCGAATTGTTGGTTTGCTGATTCAGACCCCGTGCACCTTGCCAGCGGCGCCTCGTTTGCGAGCATCCAGGTCGACAGTAAGGATCCTATCTGCGTTGGTGGGGTCGATGTGACCAACGCGTTCTACAATGTGGCTCTTCCGTCGCCACTTCGGGGGTACTTCGGTCTTCCTCGGATTCGGGCTGGCATCGCGGGGGTTGCTAGCATCAGTGGTCAACCGGTGGGCCCCTCGACATATGTTACGCCTACGTTCGTTGCCATTCCCATGGGGTGGAAGCTGTCACTTTGAATAATGCAGGAGATACTCGAATTACATTCTAGGCGCGTGCCTGGTATCGGTTTACATAATGCTCTTTACGATGGGAGACCGGCTCCCCCACTTCATCCTCTTATCCATGCAGAATATTTGGACAATTTCGTTTCTCTCAGTCAATCTCTTTCTGCTGTGCAAGCCGCTGCGGATCAGGTCTCGCAGCAACTGTCGTCGGCGCCGCTGCCTGTTCATCCGTGCGAGTCTTCAGTAGGCGGCGCGACTCTGGGTTGGCAGTTCTCGTCAGATACCGCTGAAGTGGGAGTGAATCCGGTCATGTGCTGGAAAATCCGACTCGCCTTCATCGAGCTCTGTCGTCGTCGTTTCGCGTCTGGGCGCACTCTGGAAATACTGCTCTCACACTACACCACCAGGTGCCTCATACGCCGTGAGCTTCTCTGTGTATTCAACGCCGCTTACGCGTTTGCCGAGCAAGCAGGGGACCGGGCAATAAAGATATGGCCGTCTGTTTTTCGCGAGCTGAATTGGGCGAGCCACTTGATTGCGTTGGCTTATCGTGATCTTGGGGCCGAGTGGGATCCAGAAGTCACTGTGGTGGATGCGTCTTCTTGGGGTCTTGGAGGCTGTTCGCATGTGGCATCGGATCTTGACATTGCGTCCTTGGGGTCTTTCAACGAGCGGTGGAGGTTTACGCAGTCTGGGGAGAAGTCGTTCAACCCGCGCGATTCGGTTCTCCTCGCGCAGCGCCTCGGAGGTCACCACTGGGACTCCCCTCCTGAGATCCCCTTGGGTTCTGTGCCCCCGGTCCCTGCGGCTCTGTGGGATGCCCCCTGGGTCCTCACGGAGTCCAGAGCCTGGCGGCGCCCCGAACCCCAGGTGTGTCTTGAGGGAAGAGCGATGGTCTGGGATGTGAAGCGGAAGGTCCGGGCACTCCGGAGCTTCGGCCGAAGGCACCTGCACCTCGGGGACTCCATGGCCCCCATCCTCGCTGTCACCAAGGGCCAGTCGTCTACGAGACTTATGCTGCGGGTGTGTCGACAGCATGGCTCCCTGGCCCTGGCGTCGTTCTCATACCACACCTGGAGGTGGGTACCATCTGAGCACAATGCTGGGGATCCAGGGTCTCGTGGAAAGCGCTTTGCCATGCCTGCTGCGTCGGCTCGAGCTACCTCCTCGAGGATGCCCACGTCTCATACTTCGACTATCCAACCTCCCCCAGGCCTTGAGTGGCCTGGCGTCGATGGCGGGTCCGACGGCGGGCTCGTCGGTGATGCCCAGGTTGCCTGGGGGGGCCCTGATGCCCGTGAGCGGCGGGTCCGAGCAGCCGGTCGCGTGCTCGCTGCCGGCTTCGGCGCCGCTGACGCTGCCTCGTCCAGCGGCGACTCCGCGGCCATTGAGGACCGCACCTCGCAAGCGGCCGGCGGCGACGCCGCGGCCCCGCCCGCCGCCCCGGAGCCACCTGGAGCGGCCTGCGCTGGAGGGGGCTCGCCGGGCCGACCGCTGCTCCGCGCGGCGCAGGGCCCACCCGGCCCCCGCGCCCGCGGGGCCGCTCGCCGGGACGTCGTTCCTCGAGCAGAGCGTCATCAAGCCCCAGCAGCGGACGAGGTACATCACGATGGTGAGCGAGTTCAAGAGCTGGTGCCTGGCCATGGGGATCGCCCTGGGCACGGCGCGGGAGCTCGACGTCGGGCTCGTGCAGTACTTCCACGACCTCTTCTTCAGCGGGGAGGTAGTCGACCGCGCGTCGGCCTTGCTGGCTGCCCTGGCCCACCTGGAGTCCAACCGACTCTCTCGGAAGACTCCAGAGCTGCCTCGGGCCCGGGCTGCCCTGCGGGGGTTCGGCCGCCAGCGCCGAAGCGGGCCCGACTGCCCATGCTATGGGTCGTGGCAGCGCTCGTGATCGTCAAGATGGTCGCCCGCGGGGATGTGGACGCCGGCCTGATGACGCTCCTCAACTTCGCGTTCTACTGCCGGCCGTCGGAGCCCCTGAGGGCCCGGCGGAGGGGCCTGATTCCTCCGGTCCCGCGAGGCCCCCTGAGGCTTCGACACTGGGGGATCCTCTTGAACCCCCTGGAGGGGGAGATCCCCAGCAAGACCCACGCGCACGACGAGTCTCTCTTGAACGACAACCCGGACTTCAAGTGGGTCGACGCTGTGCTGGAGCACCTGCGGGGCCGAGGACCCTTGGCCGGGCCGATTGCCGACGTGGACTACGCGAAGTGGACGGCCCACTTCAGGGCCGCCGTGGCCGGGCTGCCCCTCGGGCCTCTCCTTCCCGCGACGATCTACCAGATGCGCCACGGCGGGGCCTCTCACGAGATCCACTCTGGGCAACGGGACCTGCTGAGCGTAAAGAAAAGGGGGCGCTGGGACTCCGACGCCTCGCTGCACCGATACGTAAAAGCCGGGCGCCTCAACGAGCAGGTGCACAGACTCGACCAGGTCACGCAGTTCGCGGCCAACCTCTGCGCGGAGCGCATTGGCTCAGTGATCCTGCAGCCACCCCTCGCGCGGCAGCTCCTCGCGGAGGCCGGTGTGCCTTAGAGTTGTTCGCCGGGCAGGCCCGTTGGAGTGCGGCCTGGCGGTCGTGTCGAGCCTCGTCGGGGATCCCAGTCTTCTCGATGTATCCGCGCAGGACCCTGCCGTGACCTCAATAGTTCTCGTCTATGTCGGCTTATCCGCGGGTGGGTTCGATCGGGCCTCGTTGTGGCCCTCTGGCTGGGTACCCCGTGCACTACGTTCTCGGCTGCAAATCGCGAAGGGTGGCGTACCGCTCTTCATCCTGAAGGTGTTCCTGGGCTTTCTCCTCGGGTTCTGGCACGAGTTCAGGAAGGTAACCATCTAGCTGCGTTTTCAGCTGGCCTTTTTCCCCACATCCAAAGTGGGGTTCTTGTTCCCCGCATCCAAAGTGGGGTTCTTGTTTTCTCTGGACACCCCGCGCAGGAACAGGAACACACACACACACACACACACTCACACTCACACTCACTCACACTCTCTCATCATCAACCTCATCAGCATCATCCATGATGCTCTCTCACATGCTTAGTCACTCACATACTCATCATCATCATCACTCGCACTCTCTCACACGCTCACGAGCATCATCATCATCATCATCATCATCGGCATCGGCATCATCCTCATTCAAACATCATCATCGCCACCACCACTCACAATCAATCATCATCCTCTTCACCATTCATCTTCACCACCACTCATCATCCTCATCCTCATCATCGTTGAGTAAATTGTGAGGAAGTCTCAGGCGGGAGCCCCCTCCCTATGGGGCCCGCAGATCATGTTGGTAATCCGAGCGGGTCATCGGAACCTGTAACTGTCGTCACTTTTGGGCTCCCCAGGCCTGAAAATGGAGGAAGTCTCAGGCGGGAGCCTCGTCTGTGAGTGAATTGGGAGGAAGTCTCAGGCGGGAGCTCCCTCCCTATGGGGCCCGCAGATCATGTTGGTAATCCGAGCGGGTCATCGGAACCTGTAACTGTCGTCACTTTTGGGCTCCTCAAGCCTGAATTTGGAGGAAGTCTCAGGCGGGAGCCTCGTCTGTGAGTGAATTCTGAGGAAGGCTCAGGCGGGAGCTCCCTCCCTATGGAGCCCGCAGATCATGTTGGTAATCCGAGCGGGTTATCGGAACCCTGTAACTGTCGTCTTTTTTGGGCTCGTCAAGCTTGAATTTGGAGGAAGTCTCAGGCGGGAGCCTCGTCTCTGAGTGAATCGTGAGGAAGTCTCAGGCGGGAGCCCCCTCCCTATGGGGCCCGCAGATCATGTTGGTAATCCGAGCGGGTCATCGGAACCCTGTAACTGTCGTCACTTTTGGGCTCCTCAAGCCTGAATATGGAGGAAGTCTCAGGCGGGAGCCTCGTCTGTGAGTGAACTGCGAGGAAGTCTCAGGCGGGAGCCCCCTCCCTATGGGGCCCGCAGATCATGTTGGTAATCCGAGCGGGTCATCCAAAACCTGTAACTGTCGTCAATGTTTGGGTTCTCGCGCTGCCAGAACGCAGCTCCCAGGCCACATTTTGGACGCAACAAGGAAGTTTTTGGGCTCCTCAGGTCGCCGAGGTGCTGCGACAGGGCGCCGAAGGCGCCGACGACGACGGCCAGGCCGAGGCGCGGGCGCGGAGCTTGCTGATGTTCAGGCCCAGCGAAAGGGAGTTCACATGGCAGAGCTCGGGGGCGCACAGCGTGCGCCGCTCGGGGTTCACCCTGACGCACGCGTCCTACCTGACCTCCACGCTGTCGCAGGGCCAGACGCTGCGCAAGGGCGTCACCATCGACTGCGCGAGAGACGAGGACGCTGGCCGCACGGGCATGTCGGACGAGCAGTGGTGGCTGCACCTCTACGTCATGTTCTCCCGCGCCACGTGCATGCGGAACATGCTGATCCTGCGGCCGCCGCCGCGAGAGTTCCTGGAGTGCGGGCCGCCGGCGTCCCTGCGGAAGGCGCTCCTGGAGTTCGACAAGAGAGCGGTTTTGTCCAGGGCGGAGGCGAAGCAGCTCGCGGCAGAGCTGGGCTTCGTGCTGCCTTCCGCCTGAGCGCGGCTGCGCCTCGCTCGAAGCCCGCGGGGTTGTCCCAACGGCTTGGTCTTGCGCGCCAACGGCTCGCGGGGTTGCCCCGACAGCCTGGCCCGCGGGGTTGTCCCAACGGCTGCGCGACGTGACCAGTAGAGAACGCGCCTGTGCTGGCCGTGGCGGCGACGGCGCCGAGGAACATCGACATGCGCGCTCATGCAACAGGAAGGGGAGGAGGTGGCGGGGCGCGGAACAAACAGGGGGGCGAGGATGGGGACAACGTAAGGAGTGGAAGGGGGGCCCGCGCCAAGGCGAGAGGAAATATACGCAGAAGAGACAGCCAGGACGCCTCACCAACCACGAGGACGACGGCGATGGCTTTTTCCAGATTCGCCCAGAGGATTCTCATGCGGGGTTCTTCCGTCGGAGTAATTTTCTCTGGACGCCCCGCGCAGGAACAGGAACACACACACACACACACACACACACACACACACACACTCACACTCACTCGCACTCTCTCATCATCAACCTCATCAGCATCATCGATGATGCTCTCTCACATGCTTAGTCACTCACATACTCATCATCATCATCACTCGCACTCTCTCACACGCTCACGAACATCATCATCATCATCATCATCATCGGCATCGGCATCATCCCCATTCAAACATCATCATCGCCACCACCACTCACAATCAATCATCATCCTCTTCACCACTCATCTTCACCACCACTCATCATCCTCATCCTCATCATCGTTGAGTAAATTGTGAGGAACTCTCAGGCGGGAGCCCCCTCCCTATGGCCCGCAGATCATGTTGGTAATCCGAGCGGGTCATCGGAACCTTGTAACTGTCGTCACTTTTGGGCTCCCCAGGCCTGAAAATGGAGGAAGTCTCAAGCGGGAGCCTCGTCTGTGAGTGAATTGGGAGGAAGTCTCAGGCGGGAGCTCCCTCCCTATGGAGCCCGCAGATCATGTTGGTAATCCGAGCGGGTCATCGGAACCTTGTAACTGTCGTCACTTTTGGGCTCCTCAAGCCTGATTTTGGAGGAAGTCTCAGGCGGGAGCCTCGTCTGTGAGTGAATTCTGAGGAAGGCTCAGGCGGGAGCCCCTTCCTTATGGGGCGCCCGCAGATCATGTTGGCAATCCGAGCGGGTCATCGGAACCTTGTAACTGTCGTCACTTTTGGGCTCCTCAAGCCTGAATTTGGAGGAAGTCTCAGGCGGGAGCTTCGTCTCTGAGTGAATTGTGAGGAAGTCTCAGGCGGGAGCCCCCTCCTTATGGGGCCCGCAGATCATGTTGGTAATCCGAGCGGGTCATCGGAACCCTGTAACTGTCGTCACTTTTGGGCTCCTCAAGCCTGAATATGGAGGAAGTCTCAGGCGGGAGCCTCGTCTGTGAGTGAACTGCGAGGAAGTCTCAGGCGGGAGCCCCCTCCCTATGGGGCCCGCAGATCATGTTGGTAATCCGAGCGGGTCATCCAAAACCTGTAACTGTCGTCAATTTTGGGTTCTCGCGCTGCCAGAACGCAGCTCCCAGGCCACATTTTGGACGCAACAAGGAGGAGATAAGCATGGTGGCAGCCGCGCTGTACAACGCGCTGGACCTTCGCGCCTGCCACGGACGCAGTGACACGCACGACGTGCAGGAGTCGAACTACCAGCGGCCACACCACCACTTCGGGCGCGTGCCCATCGTGTTGCACCTCGGCGATTTCCTGCAGCTGAAGCCCACCGGCAGCATTGGCCTCCTGACGGACGTGAACGAGCGCCTGGACGACGACGAGTCGTACAGGTACGCGGACCCGCCGACGGTGGAGATCCAGCACGCCATCAAGGTCTTCTCTCAGATCCCCTGCGTCTTCGAGCTGAAGGGCACGAAGCGCTTCGAGCCCGGGGACCCTCTGATCACGTTCCTGGGCTGCATGCGCGAGGGCAAGCCCTTCCCACCTGAGGTCTGGTCCGCCTGGGAGAAGACGTTGGCCACGGACAACCAGGGCGTCCTGGACCCTCGGCACCAGAACGAGAACTTTCGGCTCGGCTACGGCATGGGCATATACTGGGAGACGCTGGCGAGGTGGATCAACACGCGCGCTCGTCGCGACGCTCGGCGTCTGGGCGTGCCCCTTGTTTTCCTGCAGGCCGTTGACGAGTGCGGCACGATTCAGGGCGAGCCCGACGCGGGTCGGCACCTCCTGAACGTCCCGAACATGCACAAGACGGGGGACATCCACGGCGTTTTGCCGGCCCACGTCGGCATGGAGGTGCGGTTCACGGCAGCGCAGGAGGAGCTGAAGAAGAAGTTGGGGCGCGTGCAGGAGCAGCGGGCCACCATCGCGTCCTTCGAGTTCCACCGCGAGGACGGGCAGCGCTACGAGGAGTGCTCGGCAGGCCAGCTCTTTCGCCCCCGCTTCCTACCGCAGGGAATCTGGCTGCAGGTGCACGGCTTCAAGGAGTCCCCGATCTACCAGGAGGTCGCCGAGGTGCTGCGACAGGGCGACGAAGGCGCCGACGACGACGGCCAGGCCGAGGCGCGGGCGCGGAGCTTGCTGATGTTCAGGCCCAGCGAAAGGGAGTTCACATGGCAGAGCTCGGGGGCGCACAGCGTGCGCCGCTCGGGGTTCACCCTGACGCACGCGTCCTACCTGACCTCCACGCTGTCGCAGGGCCAGACGCTGCGCAAGGGCGTCACCATCGACTGCGCGAGAGACGAGGACGCTGGCCGCACGGGCATGTCGGACGAGCAGTGGTGGCTGCACCTCTACGTCATGTTCTCCCGCGCCACGCGCATGCGGAACATGCTGATCCTGCGGCCGCCGCCGCGAGAGTTCCTGGAGTGCGGGCCGCCAGCGTCCCTGCGGAAGGCGCTCCTGGAGTTCGAGAAGAGACCGGTTTTGTCCAGGGCGGAGGCGAAGCAGCTCGCGGCAGAGCTGGGCTTCGCGCTGCCTTCCGCCTGAGCGCGGCTGCGCCTCGCTCGAAGCCCGCGGGGTTGTCCCAACGGCTTGGTCTTGCGCGCCAACGGCTCGCGGGGTTGTCCCGACAGCCTGGCCCGCGGGGTTGTCCCAACGGCTGCGCGACGTGACCAGTAGAGAACGCGCCTGTGCTGGCCGTGGCGGCGACGGCGCCGAGGAACATCGACATGCGCGCTCATGCAACAGGAAGGGGAGGAGGTGGCGGGGCGCGGAACAAACAGGGGGGCGAGGATGGGGACAACGTAAGGAGTGGAAGGGGGGCCCGCGCCAAGGCGAGAGGAAATATACGCAGAAGAGACAGCCAGGACGCCTCACCAACCACGAGGACGACGGTGATGGCTTTTTCCAGATTCGCCCAGAGGATTCTTATGTGGGGTTCTTCCGTCGGAGTAATTAGGCTCGCTCGTTCCCACGGCATCCCGGTGACCATCGAAAACCCACGCACCAGTCGTTTGTGGAACCTCCCGCGTTGGCAACAACTTCTGAGGCTTCCTGACGTCGAAACCACCGTGATCGACTATTGCGTTTATGGAATGTCATGGCGGAAACGTACCCGTTTTGTCTCAGCTTGCAGGCCACAAACTATGTGAATTTAGTGGTCGACCTCACATCGTGCTACAAGGGCATGATCAGTCGGGCCGGCACCGTACGCTTCAGGCTGAGCCATACCCGCCGCAGTTGTGTCGTCAGCTCGTCAACGCTTTCTCCTTCGCTATCTGATCTACTCTTTCTAAGCAATGGAAATATCGAAGGGGCTGCGGAAATACCAGGGTGTGGAAGAAAAAGGCGCTTTGGGTTTTCAGGCTGTCATGTCTATCCTGTCCAGCCCGTTTCTCTTCGGGTGCTGCGTACAGCACTCGTGCAGGTAAGCTCTCGGCGCTCGCAACACACAGATCGAATCAGCGTACCGATGAGGAAAACATCCTGGCCTGGCAGTATCCCCGAGCCTGGAACATCGATGCTTGTTCACATGCTATTGTTCTCTGGATGGTGACACGTGAAGGCCGCTTCTCGTTCCGTAATCGTTCTGGCTTCAAGCACCCACAGACTCCGTTTTAATGCTTTGCATTCTGCCTCCCCAAACTTTTCTCTCAGCCGCCTTTTAAGGGCGAGAAGCCTGTCCTGGGTTTTCAGGCTGTCATGTCTATCCTGTCCAGCCCGTTTCTCTTCGGTTGCTGCGTACAGCACTCGTGCAGGTAAGCTTTCGGCGCTCGCAGCACACAGATCGAATCAGCGTACCGATGAGGAAAACATCCTGGCCTGGCAGTATCCCCGAGCCTGGAACATATATATATATATATATATATATATATATATCATCATCATCATCAAGAAACCAGATGCGCTTCGTCAGGGTAACCTGGGCTTCTTCGTCCGCGCGCTGCGTGGTGACTCCCAGCGGCCGCGGAAGGAACTGCTGCGTTCACGGGTGCTCCGGGTTTCCCCTCAGGAGCACCCCGCGCGCAGGTTTTCAGGGCTGAGTTTCTTTCCGGGGTTTCTTGCGACCGCGCCCACGTTGTGGGGGGAGGGGGGAAGGATTCTTAGAAGCACCCCTGCTTCTCAGAACAGCGCGGGCCTTGTCTATGGATGTGAGGCTGGCGCCTTCCATTGAGTAGAATGACTATACGAAGCCGTCCCCCCTCCCCATACATATCCCCCCTTTGCGCGCCGCCAAATGAAGCAACACGTATGGCGGAGGCTGGTCCCGAGGCTTTGCGCTGTTCCTCGGCCCAAAAGCAAACGACACCACCCCACCTGCGGCCTTCCATATTGCGCTGCGGCCCATCGGGGGTCGCGGCGTATACTACGCAAAAGCCCACGCCAGATTTCCTGGTATACAGTGGAGGTCCATGCCAAGAAACACCCTGCTTGCCTTCAGGGTGCCTGGGGGTTCTTAGGTCTCTTTGGCTCTGCTGTGGAGGGCGTGACGTTCCCACACCAAGAATCAGTGGACGTCCGCGGGTCTCAGGGTTGGGTTTCTTGTGGAAGGTTTCTTGTGGACTGGCCTCCACTGTATGCTGAGCCCCGTGGGGCCGTAGGGTTTCTGGTCCAGCTCATGTCCGCCCCGGGCCCTCCCGGGGGCCCCCGGGGCCGTCTGAGAGCGACGCAGGGCGAGAGGCCCGTCCCGGGGGAGCCTCCTCCTCCTCCTCCTCCTCCTCCTCCTCCTCCTCCTCCTCCTCCTCCTGCTCCTTGGCATGGAGCAGGCGGGCCCCGAGCGAAGCGAGTCCCTGGACCCAAGGACCTTCCCTGTAGAGGCCTCTCAGACGGGGTCAGAGCAGATGGGATCGGAGGATCGCGCCGCATCGCCGATGCATCGGCGATGCGACTGAATGCGGAGCCCGACTTCCTCCGCGCCGACGTTGCATACCGCCGACGTCGCCAATGCATCGATGAGGCATCGACGATGCGGCACGATCCTCTGGCCCCATCTGTGAGGCCTCTACACGGAAGGCCCATGGGTCCAGAGACTCGCTTCGCTCGGGGCGCGTCTGCTCCATACCACGGAGGAGGAGGAGGAGGAGGAGAAGGAGGAGGAGGAGGAGGAGGAGGACGACGACGAGAAGGAGGAGGAGGAGGACGAGGAGGAGGAGGAGGAGGACGACGACGACGACGAGGAGGAGGAGGAGGACGAAGAGGAGGAGGAGGAAAACGGGGCGCTCGCATAGGCGCCGGTGGCCGTGGAGGGGGCAGCAGAGGCGGGGCGGCAGCTCGCGGAGGAGGCGCCGGCTGCGAGGAAGGGGCCCAGGGGAGCCCAGGAGTTGGAGAAGAGAAAGCTCCTCCTCCTCTTCCTCCTCCTTCTTCTTCTCCTACACCCCCTCCTCCTCATCCTCATCCTCATCCTCCTCGTCATCATCATCATCACCATCATCATCATCATCATCATCATCATCATCTTCATCATCTTCATCATCTTCATCATCTTCATCATCTTCATCTTCATCTTCATCCTCATCCTCATCCTCTTCCTCCTCCTTCTTCTCCTACACCCCCTCCTCCTCCTCCTCCTCCTCCTCCTCCTCCTCCATACGTGCAGACCTTAGCTGCCCTGATACGCCCGTGTTGAAGCGCAACACGTGCCGTGGTCAAAGACCTCCGTGTTTCCGCCTCGCTGGCTGGCTCGGCGTGCTGAGCCACGTTTTGGCGAAGTGTCGCGCCAGACATATACGTCTTCCGTCTACGTGTTGAACTCCGTGTCAACACGCTACGTGTTGCAACTGTTGTGTGTCGGGGCAGTTCAGGTACAGACTGGCAGAGGCCCGCGCGGATATTTCTTGGATCTGCGCTGGACCCCCCTCCCTGGCGCGCGGATCGCGCCAATGGCGGCGCCAGAGGCGCTGCCAGTGGGACCCAGCGCCGCTCCAAGAAATCCGCCGAAAGTGTATGCCGGCGGTTGTTCCTCGAAGGAGGATGTGGGAGGAGGGAAAAGGAGGGAGGAGGGAGGAAGGAGGAAGGAGGAGGGAGGAGGGAGGAGAAGGAGGAGAAGGAGGAGAAGGAGGAGAAGGAGGAGAAGGATGAGGAGGAGGGGGAGGAGGAGGAGGAGGAGGAGGAGCAGGCGGAGGAGTTGGAGGAGGAGAAGGAGGACCAGTGTAAACCCAAGAGCCATCAACGATGTTGAAGTAAGCCCTCCCTCCAAGCTCCTTCTTCATAGCTCCCTACAACGGTTCATTTCCATTGATGGAACTGCCTCGTTGGAAGACACCCGTTTGAAGTCCCTGAAGCATGCCAAAACATTGCTCTCGGGATTCCACCGTCACGGATCAACCTGACTGTTGCGTCTTGACGATCCTGAATCGTGCTAGAACGCCATTCTTAGGACTTCAACACAGAGAATCCATGTAAGTGTTGCACCCGCATAATCCTGAATCATTCCAAACACCAGTTCTGGGACGTTGATGATTGGAATCCGTGAAACTCTTGACGATATTGAAAACGAATGCGCGCAGCGCTAAGGCGAGAGCCACATTTTGAAAAGGAAGCGCCCTCAATCCGCGAAATTCTTGCAAATGTTTACGACGAATGTGGTTGGCGCTACGGCGAGAGAAACATTTTGACAACCACCCGCTCTCAATCCGTGAAACTCTTGTTTTTTCCAAACGAGTGTGCGCCGGGCCAAGGCGAGAGCCACATGTTGAAAACCACCCCCCCTCAATCCGTGAAGCTCTTGCAAAAGTGTCAAACGAATGTGCGCGGCGCTAAGGCGAGAGAAACATGTTGAAAACCACCCGCCCTCAATCCGCGAAGCTTTTGCAATTGTGAAAACGAATGTGCGCCTCGCTGGGGCGAGAGCCACATTTTGAAAACGATCCGCCCTCCATCTGCGAAACGGTTGCCAATCTTCAAGCTTCAAAAAGTAATAAATGGTGAAGAAGTCTCAGGCGAAACGCCCGGCCCGCCCTAAAAACTGGCTTCGGGGTGCGTCAGGGAGAAGTGATTGATAAGGAAGAGGAATGGAAGAAAAGAAGGAGTTGGAGGAGCGAGGAGAAGGAGGAGGAGGAGGAGGAAAAGGAGGAGGAGGAGGAGGGGGCGCTTATTTTTCGAAGGAGTTCGGGCTGGCGCTCTTCGGCGCCCCGGTGGATCCCACACGGGCCTGGCGCAGCGAAGGGGCCAGCGGGAGCAGTGCCTTCCGGGCAGCGCCGCCCCTGTCCTCGCGTTCGGCGGCAGGTGGGCGGGCCAGTGCAGACGCGCGCGTCGTCGCGCGCGCATGCCGAAATCCTTCAAAAACCTTCGGTTTCGGAAGGATTTCAAAATCGTGTGTCCAAAAGACATACAAAAACACAAGGTTTCGCAACACTAATTTTCAACAAAAGCGTGCGCGCGCGCTCTTGCGTCGTCGTCGTCGTCGCCGGCCTCCCTCCTCCCTCGTCGCCGTCGTCGTCGTCGCGGCCGTCGTCCTCTGTCTTTCTTCGTCGTCGTCTTGGCGTCGTCGTCGTTTCCGTCGTCGTTGTCGCCGTGGTCGTCCTTCCTCCCTCGTCGTCTTCGTCGGCGTTTCGTCGTTGTCCCTCCTATTTCGTCGCCGTCGTCGTCGTCGTCGTCTTCCCTCCTCCCTCGTCGTTGTCGTCGTCGCCGTCGCCGTCCTCCCTCCTCCCTCGTCGTCGTCGTCTTCGTTGGCGACGTCATCGTTGTCGTCGTCGCCGTCGTCGCCGTTGTCGTCGTCGGCGTCGTCGTCGGCGGCGTCGTCGTCGGCGTTGTCATCGTCGTCGTCGTCAGCGTTGGCGACGCTGTCTTCGTCGTCGTCGGTGTTGTCGTCGTCGTTGTCGTCGTCGTCGAAGTCGTTGGAGACGTCGTCGGTGTCGTCGTAGTCGCTGTCGGCGGCGTCGTCGTCGTCGTTGTCGCTGTCGTCGTCGGCGTCGGAGTCATTGCTAAGTGCCATTTAGTACCCACCGTCACGGTCTTAAGAGGTCGTGCGACCAAGTTGCGGGTGGGAAGGTGGGATGTTTGCACGAGCAGTGGAGAGGACACCTTCAAATTGAGCAAGAAGAATAGAGTCTCCCCACCCGAGTTAACGATCCCCCTGGGAGTATTGCGATTTGATAGTTATTCTACACACTCGTTCATCCTAAGTATGAATTTGTATTTTCCCAGCCAAGCCGGTATCACTCCCCCCCGCCATCCTCTGCCAAAAGTACTATGCGCGCACTTTTGTTTATCAAAAACCATAAGGTTTCAAGAATCCCTTGCAAAAAATTAGACGAAGTGCACACGCGGGCGGCGTCGCCCGCGCAAGCCGAAATTCTTCAAGAACCTTCGGTTTCGGTTGGGTTTCAAAATCGAGCTTCCAAAAAACATACAAATACACATGGTTTCGCAACACTGAGTGTCTAAACAAGCTTACGCGCGCTTGCGAAATCTAAGAAAACCACGGGTTTTCAATATGTTCAAAAATACTACCAACCGATCTTTCGAACACCCTTGCGCGCGTGCCGTCGCGAGAATCCCCCGCAAAAAATGGGACGAAGTGCAAACGCGCGCGTCGTCGCGCGCGCATGCCGAAATCCTTTAAAAACATGCGGTTTCGGAAGGATTTCAAAATCGTGTGTCCAAAAAACATACACAAGCACAAGGTTCCGCAATACGGATTTTCAACAAAAGCGTGCGCGCGCGCTCTTGCGTCGTCGTCGTCGTCGCCGTCCTCCCTCCTCCCTCGTCGTCGTCGTCGTCGTCCTCTATCTTTCCTCGTCGTCGTCGTCGTCTTGGCGTCGTCGTCGTTTCCATCGTCGTTGTCGCCGTGGTCGTCCTTCCTCCCTCGTCGTCTTCGTCAGCGTTTCGTCGTGTCCCTCCTTTTTCGTCGCCGTCGTCGTCGTCATCGTCGTCTTCCCTCCTCCCTCGTCGTTGTCGTCGTCGCCGTCGTCGTCCTCCCTCCTCCCTCGTCGTCGTCGTCTTCGTTGGCGACGTCGTCGTCGTCTTCGCCGTCGCCGTGGTCGTCGTCGTCGTCGTCGGCGGCGGTGGCGTCGTCGTCGTTTGCGTCGGCGTTGTCATCATCGTCGTCGTCGTCGTCAGCGTCGGCGTCGTCGTCATCGTCGGTGTTGTCGTCGTCGTCGTTGTCATCGCTGAAGTCGTTGGAGACGTTGTCGGTGTCGTCGTAGTCGTTGTCGGCGGTGTCGTCGTCGTCGTTGTCGCTGTCGTCGTCGGCGTCGGTGTCGTTGCCAAGTGCCATTTGGTACCCACCGTCACCGTCTTAAGAGGTCTTGCGACCAAGTTGCGGGTGGGAGAGTGGGATGTTTGCACGAGCAGCGGAGAGGTCAGCCACCTAATCAGAATTCATGTTTTTGTCGTTCTTCTTTTCTTCTTAAGCTGATTTTAAATCTCTTCATTCAACAGTTTGAATTTTCTGCTATACATCTCTTTTTTATCGGTTTTTTTTTTTTTCATTTTGTTTTTTATTATTCAGATTCGACAACTCGGACCGAATTACATTCTTTTTTTTTTTCTTGTGTTTTTTTATTTTTTCGTTTTTTTACTTATGTTTTTTTTTTTTTATCTCTTTTTTTTTCTTCTTCTTTGGCTTTTTTTTTTTTTTTCTGTATCCTTTTTTTTTTTCCTTTTTTTTTTTTCTCTTTTTTTTCAAATTTTTTTCACTATAAAAAATCGTTCCTTTATTTTTTTTCTTTTTCCTTTTTTGATTAACGATTCCTCACTAATATCAACACCTTTTTTCAAGTTAAGCAAGTGATTGATTCTCCTTTCTAAATAGAGAATAGACTCTACCACCCCCCCGGCGTTATCGGTCCCCCTTTCGGGTATGTAGATCATATATGAATCTGACCACATGTCCATCCTAAATATGAATTTACACTATCCCCGGGGGGCCAGGTTTCCCCCCCTTAGGTTCCTTTGTAAAGAACACTGTGCGGTGACATTTTTTGTTATAACATAACACTTTTTTCGCGAATCCCTTGCAACAAATGAGACGAAGTGCACACGCGCGCGTCGTCGCGCGCGCATGCCGAAATCCTTCAAAAACCTTCTGTGCCGGAAGGATTTCGCAATCGAGTTCCCAAAAAACATACAAAAACACAGGGTTTCGCAACACTGATTTGCTAAAAAAGCTTCCGCGCGAGCTCTTGCGAAATCTTAAGAAAACCGCTCTGGTTTCTCAAGATGTTCACAACATGCTACCAAACGGGCGTCGCGCGCGCATGTCGAATTCTGTCGAACGCCCTTGCGCGTGTGCCGTCGCGAGAATCCTCTGCAACAAATGGGACGAAGTGCAGACGCGCGCGTCGTCGCGCGCGTACGCCGAAATCCTTCAGAACCCATCGGTTTCGGAAGGGTTTCAAAATCGCGCGTCTAAAAAACCTACAAAAACCCAAGGTTGCGCAACACGGATTTTCAACAAAAGCGTGCGCGCGCTCTTGCGTCGTCGTCGCCGTCCTCCCTCCTCCCTCGTCGTCGTCGTCGCCGTCGTCGTCTTCTGTCTTTCCTCGTCGTCGTCGTCTTGGCGTCGTCGTCGCTTCTGTCGTCGTTTTCGCCCTGGTCGTCCTTCCTCCCTCGTCGTCTTCGTCGGCGTCTCGTCGTCGTCCCTCCTATTTCGTCGCCGTCGTCGTCGTCGTCGTCGTCTTCACTCCTCCCTCGTCGTTGTTCTCCTCCCTCGTCGTCGTCGTCGTCCGTCGTCGGCGTCTCGTCGTCGTCCCTCGTATTTCGTCGCCGTCGTCGTCGTCGTCGTCTTCGTCGTCGTTGTCGTCGTCGTCTTCCCTCCTCCCTCGTCGTTGTCGTTGTCGTCGGCGTTTCCTCCTTCTTCGTCATCGAGTCGTCTTCGTTGGCGACGTAGTCGACGAACACGCTTCAAGACGGTCAAAGAGGTTAATTCTCCTTTCTAAAGGATTAATAGATTCCACCCCCCCCCGGACTTATCGGCTCTCCCTGGGACAGTGTGATTTCATATATATATATATATATATATATATGCATTTATTCTGCACGCTCGCCCATCCTAGATATGAAATCATATCATCCCAGCCAAACCGGTTTCCCCCCCCTGAGGTCCCTTTGTAAAAACACTATGCGGTGACATGGTTTGCTCTAACATAACACGTTTTTCGCGAATCCCTTGCAAAAAATGAGACGAAGTGCACACGCGCGCGCCGTCGCGCGCGCATGCCGAAATCCTAAACCTTCTGTGCCGGAAGGATTTCGCAATCAAGTTTCCAAACAACATACAAAAACACAGGGTTTCGCAACACTGATTTGCTAAAAAATCTTCCGCGCGAGCTCTTGCGAAATCTTAAGAAAACCATAGGTTTTTCAAGATTCGCACAATATGCTACCAAACGGGCTTCGCGCGCGCTCATGTCGAAATCTGTCGAACGCCCTTGCGCGTGTGCCGTCGCGAGACCCCCTGCAAAAAATTGGACGAAGTGCAGACGCGCGCGTCGTCGCGCGCGCATGCCGAAAACCTTCAAAACCCATCGGTTTCGGAAGGATTTCAAAATCGTGTGTCCCAAAAGCCTACAAAAACCCAAGGTTTCGCAACACGGATTTTCAACAAAAGCGTGCGCGCGCGCTCTTGCGTCGTCGGCGTCGTCGTCGTCGCCGTCCTCCCTCCTCCCGCGTCGTTGTCGTCGTCGTCGCCGCCTACGTCGTCCTGTGTCTTTCCTCGTGTTCATCGTCGTCGTCGTGGTCGTTTCCGTCGTCGTTGTCGCTTTGGTCGTCCTTCCTCCTCCTCCCTCGTCGTCGTCGTCGTCCGTCGTCGGCGTCTCGTCGTCGTCCCTCCTATTTCGTTGCCGTCGTCGTCGTCGTCGTTGTCGTCGTCGTCGCCGTCCTCCCTCCTCCCTCGTCGTTGTCGTCGTCGGCGTCGCCGTCCTTCCTCCTTCGTCGTTTGCTTCGTCGCCGTCCTCCCTCCTCCCTCGTCGTTGTCGTCGTTGTCGCCGTCGTCGTTGTCCCTCCTTCCTCGTTGTCTTCGTTGGCGACGTCGTCGTCGTCTTCGTCGTCGGCGTCGGCGTCGTCGTCGTCGTCGTCGTCGTCGACGTCGGCGTCGTCGCCGCCGTCGTCGTCGTCGGCGTCGTTGACGTCGTCGTCGTCGTTGGTGTCGTCGTTATCGTCGTCGTCGGCGTCGTCATCGTCGTCGTCGTTGTCATCGTCGTCGTCGTCGGCGTCGGTGTCGTCGTCGTCGTCGTCGGTGTCGTCGTCGTCGTCGTTGTCGGCGTCGTCGAAGTCGTTGGAGA